GGTAGGTTTTAATTTATATATTAGTTTATTTAGCATATACTGAGTCCAACAAAAGTAGTCTCTTCCTTCATGGCACTTAAGGTCTGATATGGGAGGCAGTCAAGCACGTTAAGTAAACAATATATAAATACAAATCAGAATAAGAACTATTTAACATCAGATTTACTGAGGTATAATACACAGTAAAATTCACACTTTTTACATGTATAGTTGAGTTTTGACAAACTCATAAGATTGTGTAACCACCACCACTTAAGTACTGTTTTAAGTGATAAATAACCTGTGGGGCCAGGTATGGTGGCTCACATCTGTAATTCCAGCATTTTGGGAGGCCTAGGTGGGCAGATCACTTGAGGTCAGGAGTTCAAGACCAGCCTGGCCAAGGTGAAACCCGGTCTCTACTAAAAATACAAACATTAGCCAGGTGTGGTGGTGCACGCCTGTAATCTCAGCTACTCGGGAGGGTGAGGCAGGAGAATTGCTTGAACCTGGGAGGGGGAGGTTGCAGTGAGCTGAGATCACGCCACTCCACTCTAGCTCCAGCCTGGGCAACAGAGTGAGACTCTGTCTCAAGAAAAAGAAAAAAAAAATCGTCTATGCTGTTTTGCCTCTATGTAGGTATCTGGTAAAGTAATGAATTTATCACAATTTTTTTTTCCAGGCCCTTTCTGGTTATTGTGGCTTTATGGCAGCCAACCTTTATGCTCGTTCCATATTTGGTGAAGATGCACTTGCAAATGTCAGCATTGAGAAGCCAATTCACCAGGGACCAGATGCTGCTGTTACCGGCCATATAAGAATTCGTGCAAAGAGTCAGGTAACAATTCCTTTTTTTTGAGAGCATCTCTGGACTGACAAGGGGGGAGGAATTTATGACTTTATTATTTCTATAGGTAATATCTTTTTAGCATTACATGCATATACACATATAACAATAATATTATCTGAATAGAAGTATAACTTTTCTCGTTAAAATTTCTCACCTTTTGGGCCCCTCATTCTGGGATATTTGCCTAAAACCAGATTGATTCCTATGGGGTGTTTGTGAAATGGGTTCTCTAGAATTTTTTGAAAGCCAAGGTGTAAATCTAGTGACTAATTAGCCGGGCATGGTAGCGCACAACTGTAATCCCAGCTACTCTGGAGGCTGAGGCAGGAGAATCGCTTGAACCCAGGAGGTGGAGGTTGCAGTAAGCCGAGATCGTGCCATTGCACTCCAGCCTGAGTGACAGAGTAAGACTTCGTCTCAAAAAAAAAAAAAAAAAATCTAGTGACTGCGTGAAAATCTAGCACTAAAAGGTAATTAACCCAGCAAAGTTTTGGTGAGTCTGTTTGGTATGTCCTTGGTTTTATTGTTGATAATGATGTCATTGAATCGGGGCTTAATAATATGGAATAACCTACTGATTGTACATAGTTTAAATAATTATAAATATCTTCATTTTTCTTTACAGGGAATGGCCTTAAGTCTTGGAGATAAAATCAACTTGTCACAGAAGAAAACTAGTATATAAAAATAAAAAGTCCTTGAAGCTTTACAGTTAATTTAGGTATGGGCTTACTGGACTCCAACATCTTTTGTACTCTTTCATGCTTATATGTTATATAGAATCTGAGTTCATGCTGAATGCATTTCAGCCAATAATTTATAGCCTTTCCCTTAAATCAAGATTGAGTTTAAAATTATAGTTTGTCTTTTGTCTTAACAGTTCTGAATGCTATCCTCAAAGTATATAATGTTTCTCTCATGTACCAAGACCTTTTCACAGTACAATAAACAGATCTATTCATACATTTTTGTTATTTTATAAATAAATGATTACATAATTTTAGTTATGTGACAATGGATTTCTTTTAGTTGGGTTATAAATTTCTATTACAAATTTAAAATACTGAGTTGTGAATATATGCAGCTTTATTAAGAGAATTTACAAATTCAATGATATAAAATAAGGTAGGCCTTGATTCACTTGGTTTTTACTTATTTAATATTCAAACATTGCTCTCCCTAAAAATGCATTATCATGTTTTGAAGGGATTTTCTCTTGAATTTAGCTCCAGGGAGAAGGTATCAAAATAACTTGAGAAAACAGATCACCCTACAGTTTAAAGAAGTATTATGTACCCTGACTGAAACAGACATACTAGGTTTTTTTTTTTTTTTTGAGACAGAGTTTCACTCTTTTTGCCCAGGCTGGAGTGCAACGGTGCGGTCTCAGCTCACCGCAACCTCCACCTCCCGGGTTCAAGCGATTCTCCTGCCTCAGCCTCTCGAGTAGCTGGGATTACAGGCATGTGCCACCATGCCTGGCTAATTTTTGTATTTTTTTAGTAGAGATGGGATTTCTGCATGTTGGTCAGGCTGGTCTTGAACTCCCGACCTCAGGTGATCCACCCACCTCAGCCTCCCAAGGTGCTGGGATTAGAGGCGTGAGCCACCACACCCGGCTGACATACTGTTCTTAATTATCCTGAATCACAATGAAGAGTAGAGATAATCCAAAATAGATTTTTTAATCATTCACACTTAGTTTGGGGTGTTCTATGTTTGTTAGGAATTAAACTGGTTCTGGGAGGATTCAACTAGAGAGGATTCAAAAAGCTGCCTTTTTCTCTTTGCCTCTGTGCCTTACTCATTCCTCTCCTTTTCCTCACTTCACACTAGGGCTGGGTACCATCACACTGCAGTATAATTCCAAATGCATTTGCAAGCTAAGTTTCCCGGAGTCTGATTGTGCTTTCCTTTTGGCCTTTACCTTCATTGGAGGTGATTGAGGTAGTCTGATTTTTTAGCTAAGTCTAAACCTAAGACTATTATTTGTCTACCAGCTAGGCTTCAGGCTGCATTCCCTATGAGTCCTTAGATAAGGCCTGTGAAAAACTGAAAGCAGCATCTCCTATTTCAATAAGAATGAAATGATTGGTTTGGAGTATAAAGAGATTGATACCTTGTATGATGTCATAAACTGTGAAGCCACTTGCTTTTTAAAAAAAGAGAAAGAAAAAAAGCCTAGAAGATTGCAGGGCATTTGAGATTCCAGAGCACTGAGATCTTAGAAAAAAGCCAGGGCCTATCAAATGGGAAAGATATACTGGAAATGCAGAGAAGGGATGTCGATTCAAGGGTAGAGATTTGCAATGAGAGCAAAGGAGCCGGTGCAACTTTGTTTGGATTAGATCATCATTTCCCAAACTCTGTTTTACTGAACATTAGCTTCCTTAGATGTCATTAGATATTCTGAGTGAAAAAGTAATTCCATAGTCAAATAAGTTGGGGAAAAGCTTCAAACTGTCCTGCATTGGAGATTCATGATGCACATTAGCATACCAGAGATTCTGAGAGGAAAGCAGATTGGTTTAACCCAGTATATCCTAACCTTACTTTACCAGGGAATCCTTTTTCCATGACCTATTGGCAATATATGGGACAGGAAAAGTGACTTAGTGTGTTCATGATATTAGTGTTGTAATCCCAGTCAACCAGTATCACATTTCAAATCTGAAGGAATTATGCCTGTGTACATCCTAGAATATATCTCTGTTGATACTGTTAGAAAGTTGCCTGCCTGACATATTCAGGCCATTTTTGTGGGAATCAGATTGCCTCACATTGCTATTTTCTTAAATTTATAAATAAGGAGAACAAAGAGAAGTTAACACAGTTGTCAGATACATTAAACTGTTTACTTCATTAGCATTTCATTAGCTTTGTGCATGTAATGTGAACTGAACTGGATAGCAGCACATTGTTGAGAGAAGCTGTTTACGCCCTATTATTTAGGATATACATTCAAGAGTAGTAGCTGTTCACATTATAAGACACCATATAATTAGGACCATGATGTCTAGTAAGGGAATAAACATTATTCAATACCAAATGAAAGCTTAATATATTAATGTATTGAATGTGGATAAACCTGTAAAATTTACATTTACAATGTAAATGGCTTACATTGCACTGTCACAACACTAGAGGGAGCTCTATGCAGTGATTTTTCATTTTACAATTACAAGTGATTGGCACTTTGAGTTGTTTTATAAGAAGAAAAAGGGCCAAGTGTGGTGACTGGCGCCTGTAATCCCAACACTTTGGGAGGCCAAGGCCGGAGGGTGGATTGAGACCAGGAATTCAAAACCAACCTGGGCAACATAGTTGAGGCCCTGTCTCTACAAAAAAAAATTTACAAATTAACTTGGTATGGTGGCATGTGCCTGAGAGGCCGAATCAGGAGAAATTCTCGGGACCAGGAGTTCAAGGCTGCAGTGAGCTATGACTGTGGCACTGTAGTCCATCCTGGGTGACAGGGTGAGATGCCCTGTCTTTTAAAACAAATTTCAATTTTTTTTTTTTAAAGGAGCCTGGACATGGTGGTTTATGCCTGTAATCTCAACACTTTGGGAGGCCAAGGTGGGAGGATCACTTGCGCCCAGGAGTTCAAGACCAGCCTGGGCAACAAAGAGATCCCCCCATCCAAAAAAAAAAATTAAGAAAAAGCAAGATTATTTTTCTTTTTTTTTAACTTTCGTTTTCCTTTGAGAGAGTCTGGCTCTGTCACCAGGCTGGAGTGCAGTGGCACAATCTCGGCTCACTGCAGCCTCCCTGGTTCAAGCAGTTGTCCTGCCTCAGCCTCCCGAGTAGCTGGGACTACAGGCGTGTGCCACCACGTCCAGCTAATTTATATATATATACATACACACATACACACACACACACACATATATGTATTTTGTGGTTTTCTTTTTAATTTAGTCTTGTGATCACACATAATTTTAAAATTTGTATGTACCTCCGCTACTTTAATCCTTTTAAGTTGGCAAAAGCACCATTCCCAATCACAAATACACAGTTCTACAGTTTTATGTTTCTGAATGGCTGTTTAAAGACAATCCTAAATTATAACTTAGTTTGACTTAGACTGTAAAGAATTCAAGAGTGAAGTTTAACTTGCTACTATTTTAAAAGCATATGACCTTATAGATTTATTTATAAGATGTGAGAAGTGTTGAATAATCTTCAATATTACACATAAACCATACTAAAATGCCTTTCAATAAGTACAAGGAACCATTTTAAATACAGGGAATTATAATTAGATTGGCATCGTTAAGGCCAAAACTCTAGACATTGCTACCTTATTTATCTTCAACCCTTGCCTTTAAGAGGCAAATGAACACAAAACACAGGTGAATCTTGCTTGGTTCTGAGACAGTGAAGGAATTTCCCCAGTATTTAAATATATTCACATAACCAGCTATATAAATCTAAATACAAAACTAATCTCCAGTAAGTTTTAAGATGGCACTCACCATCTCTGTGAAAAGTTGAACATTACTAACAAAGTCTAATCATATCTTTAGAAAGGGTAAACAGTGATAGCATTTACTGAATTGGAATTACTATTAAAATTCAAAAACTGAACATATTCATTTAACCACAAGCCAGTCGTAGTTTTAAATCAGGACTGCCCAACAAAATATTCTGTCAGTCATTCATGATCTGAATTCTGGTGTATGAGATCTATTAAAGTATGGTACACATAAAAAAGTCACGAGACATTGGTTTTGTAATAAACAAGGCAGTGGCCAATTATTACTCATTAGTAGCTTTTTTGAGATAAGCTATCAAGTCTGCCCTTTCTTCCTTCTCCTTAATGCCGACAAAGATCATTTTTGTTCCAGGGATGTACTTCTTGGGATTCTCCAAATATTCCATCAGTGTATCCTCTCCCCAGGTGATGCCTTTGTTCTTATTGGCGGCTGTATAAGAGTATCCAGGGGCCTGACCTGTCTTCCCCCCGAAGAGACCATGGAGATTTGGCCCAGTCTTGTGCTTGCCTCCCTTTTCAACGGTGTGGCACTGGGAACACTTCATAATAAAAATCTTCTTGCCTTTCTCAACATCACCCATATTTAATTCTCTTTTTAGTCGCTGGCGCAACGAAGATTCCCGCTCTGAAGCAGGACATCCCCACTCTCTCATTTTTATATATTTTTAGTAGAGACGGGGTTTCACCATGTTGGCCAGGATGGTCTCAATCTCAACCTCGTGGTCTGCCCACCTCGGCCTCTCAAAGTGCTGGGATTACAGGTGTGAGACACAGCACCGGGCCTTTTTTTTTTTTTTTTTTTTTTTTTTTTTGAGACGGGGTCTGGCAGTGGTGCGATCTTGGCTCACTGCAACCTCCACCTCTCTCACCTCATCCTCCCGAGTAGCTGGGACCACAGGCATAAGCCATGATGCCCAGCTAATTTTTATATTTTTTGTAGAGAGAGTTTTGCCATGTTGCCCAGGCTAGTCTCCAGCTCCTGAGCTCAAGCAATCCATCCACACTGGCCTCCCAAAGTTTTGGGATTACAAGCGTGAGCTACTGCACCTGGCTATTTTTCTATTTGCAAGGTAATTCATAAATGAGAACAAAGAGAAGGAAGTTAATATAGTTGGCAGATACATCAAGTTATTTACTTACTAATAGAAAACTTGCTTTTTCTTCTTTTAAAAACAACTTCAGGCCAGGCACGATGGCTTACACCTGTAATCCCAACACTTGGGAGGCTGAGGCAGGCAGATGGCATGAGCCTAGGGGTATAAGACCAGCCTGGGCAACATGGCAAAACCCTGTCTCGACAAAAAATACAAAAATTAGCCGGGCATGGTAGCATGCACCAGTAGTCCCAGCTACTCAGGAGGCTGAGGTAGGAGGACTGATAAGGCCCAGGAGGTCAAGGCTGTAGTGAACTGTGATCATGCCACTGCATTCCAGCCTGGGCAACAGAGTGAGACCCTGTCTCAGAAAAACAACAACAACAAAATGCCAAGTTGATAGTAATATTTTGCTACCTGTCAGAAACTTTTCTAGTTAAGTGAGAAATAATGTGGGAGACAAAAAGTCATTTTAGGGATATCAGAAAGGTAAGAGAACCAAAATATACTATCTTTAGAAACTCAGTATCAGAGGTGAAATATTTCTGCTATGTATTGGGTAAAGTAAGTAGTTTTATTTGTGACTTGTTCCTTCCACATTGATGAATGTTCCAGTCAGCTAATAATGTATAGCCTTTCTCTTAAATCAAGATTGAGTTAAAATTATAGTTTGTCTTTTAACAGTTCTGAATGCTGTCCTCAAAACGGTTAGGGATACCAGCCCCCTGCCTTACTTTCCTCTCCCAGATTCTTAGTACACCATCAATGTTACCTGTCCCCAGCTCCATTCTCTACCTCCAGGATCTCAGGAACCTACAGAAGTAACCAGGTATGATGCAGAAGTTCAGTTTAGAATTAGGAAAGTATGGAATCACATCTGCTAGTTATGTGCTATGTAGTCTCAGGCAATGGTAAATAGCTAACTTAGTGCTTACTTGTGCTAGGTATAACCATGAGTGCTTTTTCCGTGACATTTACAGTGTTCACAATGACACTCTAAGGCAAATACTGTTAATATCGTCATTTAAAGATGATGATTACAGTCTTACAAGAGGTTAAGTCACTTATTCAAGGCTTAATAGTAAGAGATGAACTCAGATATAAAGCCAGGGCATCTGACACTAAAGCCCTTATAACTAGTCACACATTGCCACCACAGCCTAATAAATTGTACCTCAGTTTCCTCATTTGTAAGGTGCTTTTAACGTGTATTTCACAGAGGTGATATGAAAATGAAATGACATAATGTATTTATTACGAATATTTGGCACACAGTAGATGCTCATCAGTAAGTATTCATTCCATTTCTTCCTGCACTGACCTTCCTTACCTTACAGAGAAGACTGAACCCTGTTCTCATTCTCTTTATACTTCCCTCAGAATTTAGGTCTTCATTTTACACAGTAACTGACTTAAAAGAATCTTCATGTCTTGAGAATTATTTGATTGAGGTATCATTGACCCCTTTGTAACTATTTGTTGTGTAGTTTTTTGGTTTTTTTTAGATGGAGTTTCACTCTTGTTGCCCAGGCTGGAGTGCAGTGGTGCGACCTCAGCTCACCACAACCTCTGCCTTGCTGGTTCAAGCGATTCTCCTGCCTCAGCCTCCTGAGTAGGTGGGAGAACAGGCGCCACCATACCTAGCTAATTTTTGCATTATTAATAGAGATGGGATTTCTCCATGTTGGTCAGGCTGGTCTCGAACTCCTGACCTCAGGTGATCCACCCGCTTCGGCCTCCCAAAGTGCTGGGATTACAGGTGTGAGCCACAGTGCCCAGCCTGTTGTGTAGTTTTTTTAAATAAGCTCTCGGCACTTTTGCCTATCAACTATTGTTAGCTAAACGTGATTGTCGTAACCCATGTTCCTCATGTGATAGATATCTATGATGAACATACTGGCTTTGTTTGCTTTCAGAATGACAATCAAATGTCTAGTTCTTTAAAAATGAGCCCAGAGATATGTGCATCCCGGTTACAGTAACCGTGTGATGTTTAGGGGTTGCTCACTGTGATCAAAAGTCACTTCTAATAATCTGACCACTTCCTCTTTTATTTTCTCCATCTAGCAATGGCAGAATCTCTGAGAAGTCAGTCACGCAGTAACAAAAGAATGCAAGCGGGATTTGTGTCTTTTATCTGGGCTCTGTATATAATTATAGGATTCTGAGAAAAATTTGCATTGTATGTATTTTGGAATAATTGTATTAGTTGGGGTCCTCTAGAGGGACAGACTAATCGGATCTAATAGGATATGTATGTAAAGGGGAGTTTATAAAGTATTAACTCACACGATCACATGGTCCCACAATAGTCTGTCTACAAGCTGAGGAGCAAGGAAAGCCAGTCTGAGTCCCAAAACTGAAGAACTTAGAGTCTGATGTTCGAGGGCAGGAAGAGTCTAGCACTGGAGAAAGATGTAGGCTGGAAGGCTAGCCAGTCTAGTCCAGTCTTGTCTTGTCTTTTTGGTTTTTTTTTTTTTTTTTGAAACGGAGTCTCTCTCTGTCACCCAGGCTGGAGTGCAGTGGCGCAATCTCGACTCACTGCAAGCTCCGCCTGCTGGGTTCATGCCATCCTCCTGCCTCAGTCTCCCCAGTAACTGGGACTATAGGCGCCCACCACCACGGCTGGCTAATTTTTTTTTATTTTTAGTAGAGACGAGGTTTCACTGTGTTAGCCAGGATGGTCTCGATCTCCTGACCTTGTGATCCGCCCACCCCGACCTCCCAAAGTGCTGGGATTACAGGTGTAAGCCACCGCGCCCGGCCTTTTTTTGTTTGTTTGTTTGTTTGTTTTGAGATGGAGTTTTGCACTTGTTGCCCAGGCTAGAGTGCCATTGCATGATCTCAGCTCACTGCAACCTCTGCCTCCCAGGTTCAAATGATTCTCTTGCCTCAGCCTCCCGAGTAGCTGAGATTGCAGGCGCCCATCACCACGCCAAGCTAATTTTTTGTATTTCCAGTAGAGATGGGGTTTCACCATGTTGGCCAGGCTGGTCTCAAACTCCTGATGTCAGGTGATCCACCTGCCTCAACCTCCCAAAGTGCTGAGATTACAGGCATGAGCCACCGCACCCGGCCTCAGTCTAGTCTTTTCACGTTCTTCTGACTGCTTTATATTCTAGCCACACGGCAGCTGATTAGATGGTGCCCACCCAGATTAAGAGTGGGTCTGCCTTTCCCAATCCACTGACTAAAATGTTAATCTCCTTTGGCAACACCCTCACAGACACACCCAGGATCAATATTTTGCATCCTTCAATCAAGTTGACACTCAGTATTAACCATCACAGTTGTAAAACCAACAAAATACACAAATGGAATGCAGCATGGTGGACTGAAAGAGTCCTGAATGAATTTTTCTAAATCTATTCTCAATTCACTAAGTAGCTTTGTGAAAACAGACAGATATCTCTGGGCCTATGTCCTTATCTGTAAAATGAAACAATTCAGTTAACTGACTTTCTGGCTTTCTGGCTTTAAAATCTATACTAAAAAGCTATACATTTTACTTTTGTTTTTTATATTTTTAAAAATATCCTTATTGCCATAAACAAGGAGCAGGAAAGCCTTGTGTTTTTACAGCTACCTCTTCAACAAACTCTGTAAATCAACTGGGATATATCTACCTGGATGTTACCAATGGGCACATCAAAATGAAATGGAATTTATCTTGTTCCCCTAACTTGTTCCTCTACTGTGTTCTCTGGTAATTTATGCTAGAAACCCAGTAATCATCCTTAACTCTGCCCTCATACCTATATCTCATCAGACACCAAGACTCATTTTTTTCCCTTCCTCAATATTTTTCTAATCTTTCCCCTACTCCAATGCCATTGTCCTGGTTTAGACTCTGTCATCCCTAACATGGTCTACTACAGTAGCCTAACCATAAATCTCACATATAATTTTAAAATTAAAGCCTATGCCTTAATTTTAATCACATACAACAGTTTCTATACAATTTTTGGACATAGTCAGACTCTTCACTGCTAATGCTATTTTTGAGAGGCTACTGAAAAAAGTCCAAAGATTTAATATTTTTAATAATAAAAATGAAAAATGATCAAGATGCTCCAAAATGAGTATTGACAAGCAATGGTGGTGTGTCTATATTCTGTACCAGAGTACCCAGTAGATAGTACATGCTTAATAAATATTTGTTGAGTAACCAAATGAATGATGCATATAGTCATAAAGATAACTAGGGTGTGGACTAAATTGCACTGTGGGGATGTGCCTAGGAAAAAATGTTAGGTGAGAAAAAAGACAGCACTCTCCTACATTATGATAATATTTCCTATATAAGATGAATCAGGGCTGGGCACAGTGGCTCATGCCTGTAATCCCAGTACTTTGGGAGGCCAAGGCGGGTGGATCACCTGAGGTCAGGTGTTCATGACCAGCCTGGCCAACATGGTAAAACCCTGTCTCTACTAAAAATTAAAAAAAAAAAAAAAAAAAAAATTAGCTGGGCATGGTGGTGGTCACCTGTAATCCCAGCTACTCGGGAGGCTGAGGCAGCAGAATAGCTTGAACCTGGAAGGCAGGAGTTGCAGTGAGCCCAGATCGTGCCATTGCACTCCAGCCTGGGCAACAGGGCAAGACTCTGTCTCAAAAGAAAAAAACAGATGAGTCAGGATATGTTGCAGGTACACTGCCTATCTCTCCAAGTGAATAGGAAATTGAAATATCACATCAGTCTTATCTCCAGTACATCTTGAAAATAAATGCTGTCTAACCCACCCACCCTGTTACTGGGTGTAGCTATTTTATTGGCTACAGTCCCTGATTCCAGCTTTTGTGATTTTTAGATCTGTGATCTTGATCTCTTGAGCTTCAAAGTGGCTGAAACCTCAGCCTTTTCTGGGCATCCTCTTGTGAGTTAACACTGTATTCCCTTATAAGAGAGTGGGGATAGACTCCTACTACACAGGACTTCACCAGCCAGCGTGTGGGGAAAGGGAAATGCCCATCTGGTTCTAAGAGTCTGGGAAAATTAATGACCCCTACTGAGCTACGCAAACCATATCTGAAAGCCCAAAAACATTAAAAAAGTGAATTTAATGAATTATAATCAAAATTTTCTCTTTCTACAGACTTGTTTAAAGTCACACTTTTTTTTTTTTTTTTTTTTTTTTAGTGATCCTTTGCTTTGAGTAAAGGTATGACTGCTTTCTGTTAAGCTAAGAGCATATTTTTCAAACTTTCCCTGATAGAACACTAGTATTCCACAAACTAGACAAATGTGTTCCCACAGCTAAAATCAGATACTGATGATCTTTTTCCCAAGTTAGTAGAATAAATTTTGTCAATTTTATGTTTCTTCTCTATAAAGATTTTTAACACTTTAATACCTGCTACCAAACTTTAAAAGTACTGAAGAAGCATTATGGCAATATTAATATTTGATAGGATGAATGTTCTTGATCTAACAGCTTGTCTTTGTGGCCATGTGTGCTCCTGGTAGTTTTATATTGCATGCATATATTTTCAGCTAGTAAATTGTCTCTTGTTTATCAAATTGAATGAAATGTCTCAGTATTTCATGGTTGTAGCAAAGGACAATTTGATTTCTAGGTGCCCCACTACCATCTTAGATATTTGTATAAAATATAAAATTCAAATGCTCTTATGTAATCTATACATAGTGCTCATAAACACTGTTTACCCTAATGAAATAAGCTTTGGTAATGGAAATATAAATCCAAGTTCAGGTAGTCCCCAACTTATGCCTTCAATGTAAAAGAACTCTGGAAATGCTCTGGAAGAGTGCACCCTTGTTTTTGGCACTCAACCTGTATGCTTTTTCCCTCATTCCCCAACCTAAGATATAACATAGGGACTCAGTACTGAGGACCCTTGGGTTCTGACTGGTAATACCTGCTGTACATCTAGTGGTATGCAACATCCTGATGTTACTAAGAGTAAGATACAGTCTGGTCAATATTTTAAGGGCACAGAAACACCTAATCAGAGCACTATTTGAAAGTCTTAAAATAGAAAAATGTACCAATTGCTGTGAGAGCACAGAAAACTGGTGGCTATCAGAGGAGAGTCAGGCATAGTTTCATAAAGAGGTGACATTTGAATTAAGCCTTGAAAAGCATAAATTTGCCTGTTTAATGTCAAGTAAGGGATGGGGAAAAGGGGTGAAAAAACCATTCCAGCCACAAAATAGGTGGGATAAAGTCACAGAGGTGCATGACACAGAGAAGTGGGTTCTATTCAACATAGCATTTTTGGGAGGCAATATGATTAGGCTGGAGATGGCAAATTGTAAGCAGATAAGTGACACATTTGCTTTTTATTTGTTTTTTAAGAGACAGGGTCTTGCTCTGTCACCTAGACTGGAGTGCAGTGAGTGGCATAACCATAGTTCACTGTAACCTTGAACTCCTGGGCTCAAGTAGTCCTCCCACCTCAGCCTCCCAAGTAGTTAGGACTAAAATGTATGCCACCACACCCAGCTAATTTTTAAAATTCTTTCTTTTTTGAAAGATAGGGGTCTTGCTGTGTTGTCCAGGCTGGTCTTGAACATCTGACTTCAAGTGATTCTTCTGCTGCAGACTCCCAGAGTGCTGGGATTACAGGTGTGAGCCACTGAGCCCAGCCCAGGTTTGCATTTAGGAAAAAACCTTTGGAGAATAGATTGGAAGTGTGGGAGACCAGTTAGAAGCCAACTGTAGAAGCAAAATTCAAGAGTAATTTTAGGCTGCATGCAGTGGCACACGCCTGTAATTCCAGCACTTTAGGAGGCCAGGGTGGGAGGATTGCTTGAGCCCAGGAGTTTGAGACCAGCCTGGTTAACACAATGAGATCCCTGTCTCTACAAAAACTAAAATAATCAGCCCAGCATGGTGACCCAGCTACTTGGGAGGCTAAAGTGGGAGGATCACTTGAGCCCAGGAGTTCAAGGCTGCATTGAGCTATGATTGTGCCACTGCACTCCAATCTGGGTAACAAAGCGAGACCCTGTCTCTTTTTAGGAAAAAAAAAAAAAAGTTATTTTTACAGAACATGATGTGGAAAGTGGGACATGGAAGGGGCAGGGAGTCAGGGACAGATGGGAGCCTTTAAAAAAACTTACATGTTTTCCTAAGGGAAATGCTGCTCTGAAAAACGGGTAGGGTTACCAAATCTGCTCTTCCTCATATGTAAAACACTTCCTGTCTTAAACTGTTACTGAAATGATGTGAAATTTAATCAGTAAAGGTGTGTACAGATGAGTGATGGAGTAGTTATTAATAGAGTTGTCATGGTGATCTTTATCCACAGAAATAATACCATATCATGAGGTTGAAGGATATGAAACTGCTTCTTTTATGGGTTAAAAAAAGTCAAATATCAGCAATTTTGTGTGATTCAACCTAATAGTTTGTGAATCACTTAGTTTTTCCTATTACTTCCTGCTTCCTTTTAAGCCATATTATTGCCTTTTTTTTTTTTTTAAGATGAGCAATATATTTCATCAAGGGGATTTCCAGGAATGCTGGAGAGGCAAGTGTGGTAAATTAAAAGTATGCAGGCTCTAGAATCAAATAAACCTGGAATTAGATTTTTCTCTGTAATTTGTTAACTGTGATCTTGGGCAAGTCAATCTGTTTCAGCTTTATTTTTTTGTTCTGGAAAATGGAAATAAATAGTGCCTGCTTTGTAGAGTTATTAAATGAGAAAAGTCATGGCTTGTTAGTGTGTGGCATATAAAAGATGTTGAATGAAAGTCTCAGCTGTCCCCTCTCCCTTTCATTTTTCCTACTTGCTTGTTCACAAAAGGTTTGACATAAAACTCAGAATTTTCTGCTTCCTTGTGTCTCATAAAAGCTGAGTTATGCCAGGGATTTTGATGTTTATAAGAAATATTCATTTAGTTTCAAGCTAAAATCTTTTAGACTAAGTGGCCATTTAAACTTTTAAATATCATTCCATGGAATTGCTTTAATGTACAATTTGTATCAAGTTTTTCCAGAATGCCAGAGCCTCATCACTTTTCACGTCATTCAGGAAGTTACTCATTTAACCTAGACTTCCAATAAGCTCATACATGGAGACTGTGTCATATTCTTCTGGAAGTATCACCATTTTTTAAAAATGTGATAACTGCTTTTTGAAAAGAAAAAAGATCATTGAAATTGTATTTTTTTGCTTATATTCCTTACTTTGAATCCAACCCCAAAAGGTGAACTCATAATTGCTGACCCCTCACACTTGTAGATCCCAAAGGCACAGCTGGATTTCTGCCTCAGTTTCCCTTATTTTTATTCCCTGGTGGGTTTTGATTTTGCAATAATTCTCTGTTTTTTTTCTTTTCTTTTTTTTTTTTTTTTGAGACAGAATCGCTCTGTCGCCCAGGCTGCAGTGCAGTGGCGCAGTCTCAGCTCACTGCAAGCTCTGCCTCCAGGGTTCACGCCATTCTCCTGCCTCAGCCTCCCCAGTAGCTGGGACTACAGGCACCCGCCACCACGCCTGGCTAATTTTTCGTATTTTTAGTAGAGACAGGGTTTCACCATGTTAGCCAGGATGGTATTGATCTCCTGACCTCGTGATCTGCCCATCTCGGCCTCCCAAAGCCTGGGATTACAGGAGCCAGCGCGCCCAGCTAATTCTCTGTTTTTAATTGAGCTCCTATTTTGTGCAGGCGCTTTTCATGTCACAGCATGTATATGATGAATAAGACGGACAAAATATTTGCACACATGAGCTTACATTTCTGTGACAACAACCAGATAAGGTGTTTTCAGAGTGAGTAAGTCCTAGGAAGGAAATAAATTAGGCGAATGGAGTAGACAGTGGCTGGTAGATGGGAAGGGTAACTAAGAAAGGTTTTCAGGGAATTAAAGTAGTTACAAGGACCTGAGTTGCTCTGGCCCCCAGCTCCCCTGGAGGGTTGAATTGTGTATCTAGCCACTGCCCGGGACTGCCCTTTCAACCAGAAGTATGCCATCCAGATATCTGATGTAACTGCTATTCTGACTTTATCCCTATTTTGTGGAACCTGGCTGCCTTGTTCTATCTGCTTGAATTTGCCCCTGGCTGAAATCAAGCCTTGATTCTCCACTAAGTGATGGCCTTTTCGAACTTAAAAATTAGTAACTATTAACTAATGTCCGTTCACTGAAAATAGAAAATGAAGAAAGGCAAAAATAAAACAGAGATAAATACTGGTTAACATTTTGGGACATACTATTTCAGGTATATTCTATTCTTTTGTTTTTTTGTTTGTTTGTTGTTTTTTTTTTTTGAGACAGAATCTCGCTATGTTGCTTAGGCTGGAATGCAGTGGCGTGATCTCAGCTCGCTGCAACCTCCACCTCCCAGGTTCGAGTGATTCTCCTGCCTCAGCCTCCCAAGTAGCTGGGATTACAGGCATACTCCACCATATCCAGCGAATTTTTGTATTTTTAGCAGAGATGAGGTTTCACCATGTTGGCCGGCTGGTCTTGAACTCCTGGCCTCAAGTGATCTACCCACCTCAGCCTCTCAAAGTGCTGAGATTAAAGGCATGAGCCACCACGCCTGGCCTATGTGCATATTTTAATCAAAGTATGATCATAATTTGACCTTTTTATTCAACCATATAAATCAGTTTCTGTTTCAATAAGTCAATATCTGCTTCCACATTACTTTAAATAGTTTCTGTCATGCTGATGATATATACCACAATTGATTCAACCCATTCACTGGGAACAAAAGAATAATTATGACGATCAGAGCAGTAACTAACCACTGAGCACTTAACACACGTTAGGAACAATGGCGATGTTACATACAACATTTCTTTTTTTTTTTTTTCCGAGATGGAGTCTCGCTCTCTCGCACTGGCTGCCCAGATCTCGGCTCACTGCAACCTCTGCCTCCCTGGTGTAAGTGATTCTCCTGCCTCAGCCTCCCAAGTAGCTGGGATTACAGGCACACACCACCACACGTAGCTAATTTTTGTATTTTCAGTAGAGACAAGGTTTCACCATGTTGGTCAGGCTGATCTCAAACTCCTGACCTCAAGTGATCCACCCGGGCGTGATCTACCAAACCTGGCCTATACACATCATTTCTGAGGCAAATAATGTTAAGTGACTTGCCTAACACCACTCAGACTGTAAGAAAAGACACTGCTGGGCAGAAATGACATTTACTAAACATGGAGTGTGGGCTAGGCTGCATACTAGTCTCAGCAGGGAGGTAACTTCTGCTATTTCCCTTAAATCTCAAAGGTCAGAATTCTGTAGCCCTCCCCTAACTGCAGTGGGAAACAGGCCTCTCTGAATGTCTGCTCCCACCAAGACTGCACATAATGTGTACAGAAATCAGGGTACTATCAGGAAGTGGGGAAATGGATGCTGGGCAACCAAACATTGACAGATAGTCATTATTGCCTTGCCTTAGGCTGTATTACTGTCTCATGTTCTGCTTTTTCCCCACCCTGAGCCTCTCACCTCTTACCCTCTCTGAGGTTTACGTTCTTCATCTGTAAAATGGATATACCCATGGTTATTATTATGGCAGACTATTAAATAGAAATATGGCCCACCACTGGGTAACCAAGTTTTTATGAATGAGGTGGGTTACCAGGTCCCCACCAATGCCCTTTGAAAAAGTATGAAGGGAACAGTCAGACTTTGGGAACCTAAGAGATTGAGGAAGAAGGAAACCAAATAGGATCTGTTTTTTCTGCAAAGTCACTGAAGGAAATAGGGGAGGAGGGGATAGGATAGAGGGACCTCTAGCAACCTCATTCAGGTGTAGAACAATCACAGTGTGTAGGACAAGTCACGATTCCTCTTCCTTTCCTGGGAGAACTGCTCACAGTTGACCTACTGGTCTCATTGATTCCCAGATAAGGCATGGCAGTCAGCCAACAGCAGGCATCATCAGACAACTTGGAAGAGGCTCAGAGGCAGAAACTGAAGTGTGATGCTGCATATCTGGGGGATGTGAACTGTACATCTGCACACTGACAGTAAGTTGTTGACAGCAAATTGCAAAGAGACTAAGCAAGAATGGTGGTGCTCCCATGGCAGTTAGGCCCTTAGCAAAAGCAAAGAGAATATGCTGCAGCATATGGGGGTCAAAGAGCACTGGGAAGCAGCACCTAACTGCATGTTTATGGCCCTGGCTTCTACTTAGATCTCTACCACTAACTAAGGAGAGTGGAATAGCTCTCCCTTTCTCAGACTTAATCTTCAATGGCCAGCTCACATGGCATTTCCACTATAAAGTTCACTTAGGCTCTGAATTGTTCCTTTTTCTGTGCTCACACAGCATTCTCTATTCCACCATTATACCACATAGCACAATTTAGCATGGTACTTTGTCCCACCTCTAAAATGGAGTTAGTATTTGGCCTGCATTCCTCCCAGTACTGTTCCAAACTGAGTCAGGAATAAGAACATTGGTCCAAATGCTTGCGTGAACTCACCACACATTAATGATAACAATATGTAGGGACCATACTTTACAGTTTATAATGCAATTTTGTACCCATTATCTCATTTGATCCGCAAAGTAACCGAATTATTAGGTTACTGATTCACAAGTGGGAAAACTGAGCTCTGGCAAAGTAATTGGCTAAAGTTGCTTGGCTAGTAGGTGATAGAGCCAGGAATGGAACCCTGACCTCTGACCAGGGCCTGTCCTCTCTCTATTACTTGTTGTTACTTTTACTGCTGGAATAATCCTTCATCCATTGAAAAACAGGCAAATAAGCAAAAACCCCTCCTACAAACTTTAATTTCTTGGCAGTTTACTTTCTCTGCCTCCTGCTTAATGGAAACCTGGCTCTTTCTGAGTGCCATACCTCCATTATATCTTCTTCCAGCTTCTTTCTTTTGAGACGAAGTCTCGCTCTTGTCCCCCAGGATGGGGTGCAATGGTGCGATCTCGGCTCACTGCAACCTTCACCTCCCAGGTTCAAGTGATTCTCCTGCCTCAGCCTCCCGAGTAGCTGGGATTACAGGCACATGCCACCACGTCCGGCTAATTTTTGTATTTTTAGTAGAGACGGGGTTTCACCATGTTGGCCAGGCTGGTCTTGAACTCCTGACCTCAGGTGATCTGCCCGCCTCAGCCTCCCAAAGTGCTGGGATTACAGGCGTGAGCCACCATGCCTGGGCCTTCCAGCTTCTTGATTAGACACTGCCTTTTCTCACATCTTCCGTATACTACTGGGGACTTCACTGGCAGTCTTGTCATTCCCCATTGACACTAACCTACCACGTTATTTCTACCCCTTGCAAAATTTACTTGTCCTTTGAAGCTTATACCATCCAGCTCAGCCTATCAGACCCTCTGTCCTGGAACTTTGACTGTTGTATAACTGATCCAAGAATGGAAGGAATGAGGGGAAGGCCTGTGTTTGAGGCTCATGCCATCTTCTATGCTATCTTTACAGAAGTCATCCTCTGACCACTTCAGTCCTTAAAGATTTGGGTACCTGGCACAAAGTCTTCTTCACTTTAAGGCTCGCTGTCAACTAGGTAACTTCACTATATGGAACCATTTAACATCCTAGCCTCCGTATTCCTTATTTTTGGCAACAGTAACCACCACCTTACAGCCATTCCACTCATTCATTTCCATGATTATGTCTTGGATTTTTTAAAGACCTGGCACTGCTCCACTTTTGAGATCTTAAGGTCTGGAGTACTAAATCTCAGATTATCACCTCCTGGCTCCCTAGCTCTCTCACTCTTACTCCCACCATACATTCTCCTTCATATCCTGGACTCCACCAGGTCTTTGACCTTACCATTTTCTACCAAGTTCATCACTCCTCTCCATATTTCCCTTCCCTATTCCGCCTAGACCTTATAGTGCCACATGAAGACCAACATTATCCTCTTTCTTCCACACCCACCTTGCATCAGTTCAACTATCAGCTTTCTCCACTCCCATAATGAAGCTGCTGAACATAACCCTGTAGACTGACTCTGCAGCAGTGCTGTGGTCTCTCTCTCTCTCTCTGAACATAACCCCGTAGACTGACTCTGCAGCAGTGCTGTGGTCTCTCTCTCTCTCTCTCTTTTTTTTTTTTTTTTTGTAGAATTAACAGTCTTTATTGGGCTCAGACCAGGAGTCCATGGGTCTTGAGGACTTCTGTGTATTTGTCAGTTTTCTTCTCCACGTTCTTCTCTACCAGTTTCCGTAGCCTCATGAGCTGTTTCTTCTTCCAGTAGTGGATCTTGGCTTTCTCCTTCCTCTTCTCCTCCAGGGTAGCTGTCACTGCCTGCTACTTCCAGTCAACCTCGTGAGCCAGGCACCCCAGATAGGCATACTTTCTCATAGGCTTCAGATGCACGACCTTGAGGGCAGCAGGAACTGTCATCCGCTGTTTCTTTTCTTAGGGTGGTGGGATGATGTCAAACACCTTGAGGCGGTCCAGGACAGCCTGGCCTCGCTTGGTCTTGTGGGGCAGCATGCCTCGCAGCGTCCACCAGAACATGCAGCAGAGGGCCCGGAAGTGGTAGGGGCCTCGGAAGAGTTGGTGTACATCTGCTTGTGGAGGAAAACCAGGTACTTCAACTAGTTTCTGTGGAAATTGCCAGAAATGGCTGGACGTGGTGCTCACGCCTGTAATCTCAGCACTTTAGGAGGCTAAGCCGGGTGGATCACATGAAGTCAGGAGTTCAAGATGGGCGAAACCCCGTCTCTACTAAAAATACAAAAAATTAGCTGGGCATGCTGGTGGGCGCCTGTAATCCCGGCTACTCGGGAGGCTGAGGCAGGAGAATTGCTTGAACCCCGGAGGCAGAGGTTGCTTTGAGCCAAGATTGCGTCATTGCACTCCAGCCTGGGCAACAAGAGGGAAACTCTTTCAAAAAAGAAAAAAAGAAATTGCCAGAAATGTTGATGCCCTCGCAGCGTATGACCACCACCTTCTGGCCCAGCAGTACCTGCTTAGCCACGATGGCTGCCAGGAGGCCCAGGAGATGGCCTAGACCATTGAGCACCAGGACCTGCACCTCTGCCATCTTCAGCGGTCGCCTAGGAAAAGCGGTCTCCATTCTTGATTGGGCTCTCATAGGTATTGTGACCTTGATTATCTCTTCACAATATTAATTAACAAAATTGATTAACCTATTCATTTAACAACTATTTATTTGTCATCTGTTACACGCCAGACAATGTGCTACATGTTAAACATGTAGCAGTAGACCAAACAAACAGACATAGTGCCTACCTTCATGGAATTATGGTCTAGTGGAGGGAAGACCCCTTGTTCACTATATACAAACATACTCAGTTGACCCTTGAACAACATGGGGGTTAAGGGGCTGACCCCCTGCACAGTTGAAAATCCATGTATAACTTTTGACTCCCCAAAAATATAACTATTAATAGCCTACTGTTGATCTTATCGATAACATAAACGGTTGATGAACATATATTTTGTATGTTATATATATTATATGCTATATTCTTACACTAAAGTCAGCTAGAGAAAAGAAAATGTTATTAAGAAAATCACAGAGAGCCAGGTGCAGTGACTCACACCTGTAATCCCAGCATTTTGGGAGACCGAGGTGGGCAGATCATTTGAGGTCAGGAGTTTGAGACCATCCTGACCAACATGGTGAAATCCTGTCTCTACTAAAAATACAAAAAAATTAGCCAGGCGTGGTGGTGCATGCCTGTAGTCCCAGCTACTCAGGAGGCTGAGGCAGGAGAATTGCTTGAACCAGAGAGGCGGAGGTTGCAGTGAGCCAAGATTGCACCACTTCACTCCAGGCTGGGTGACAAGAGTGAGACTCTGTCTCCAAAAAAAAAAAAAGAAAATAAAAAAAAAAAAGGAAAATCACAGGGAAGAGAAAATATATTTACTTTATTAAGCGTAAATGGATCATATAAAGGTGTTTATCCTTGTCATCTTCCCGTTGAATAGCCTGAGCAGGAGGAAGAAGAGGAGAGATTGGTCTTGCTGTCTTGGGGTGGCAGAGGCAGAAGAAAATTCATGTAAACATGGACCCATGCAGTTCAATCCCATGTTGTTCAAGGGCCAACTATAATTACCATTGTGAAGAGTGCTACCAAGGAAAAAGCTCCAAGTATCATAAGAGCATACAATAAGAAGACCTAGCCTAGACTGAAGAATCAGGGAAGGCCTCTCTGAGAAAGTGACATTTAATTCGAGACCCAAAGAAAGGGTTAAAATTAACCAAGTGAAAGGAATAGGAGTGAAATGGAAGTGGTCTCCTGGTATAGGGAAGAGGATCTATGAAGGCCTCAAGGAGGAAAGGAGGAAGGAAATGAAAAGGGTTCCTGTTGAGAGTGTATGGAGGGCTGAGGGCAAGGCTGAGAAGACAATGTGAACCAAATATTTGGGTCATTTCAAGAATTTTGAGCAAGTGTACAATTTCATGCAGAGGGTGGCATGATCTGATATGTCCTTTTAAAAAAGGTCAACCTGTTTGTAGTATGCTGAAAGGGTTTAGTGGAGGCAAGTTAATCAGATGGGAAGCTATTGTATTAATAGTTGTCCATCTGAAGGCAGATGGCTTAGTGGAGATAGATTCAAGAATCTTCTCCAAGCTCCTGAACACCCATAACCTACTTCTGGTCCTTTCTCCACCATACCACCACTGTTACCAATTGTGGCAATTGGCTTGCTTCCTACTTCTTAGGAAATTTAAAATATCAGGTGTGAACTTCAATTTCCTGCTTCTACACCTACAAATTTAGCTAACTATACTTCCTTCACTTCCTTCCTGCCAATCTCAGAGAAAGAGGGTCAGATCTCCTTTCTAAGGCTCATCATTCTTCCTTCCACGTTCTCCAAGACCAATACCATGCCCCTTGATTAACCACTCCCTCTCCTCTAAACACATGCAATTCCCTTCTAATTAGAAGAACAAAAAACAGGCCTGACACAGTGGCTCACACCTGTAATCACAACACTTTGGGAGGCCGAGGCAGGCGGATCACCTAAGATCAGGAGTTTGTGACCAGCCTGACCAATATAGT